AACATTGAAGCTAGTGTTTCTGAAGAGAAATTAAAAGAATTAGTTCTCCTCCATTAATCTGTTCATTAGATTCCAAAAGTAGAAAGTAATCCATGGAATTTACTATGTGAAAAATCAGTGACTGTGATAAGGGATTTGTCCCATTAGCTCTGAATATGTTTACTCGTCAAAGAACATAAGGTTTACAGAAAACAGGCAAGGTTTGATTAGAATTAAAAGATTACGGCCTTAAGATAAAAACATTGAATTTTCAAACTGAGGCATATTTATCAGACAAATAAACTTGTTTAACAAATGATGAGAACAGCTATAGGAACTACAGGAATTCACTGTAGGATACTGGTTTAACCCTAACCAAAAGAACAAACCTATATACACTTCAATGTATTTCACTGCAGGGTAGGTTGGTTGGACTTCTCAAGGATGAAAAAGGCACAAAAGTAAGTACAGAAGATCCATGACTAATATCTTAATGAAGGCAATCATTCAAGAAAATGTCTCCTTTGACATATATCCAAAACAGGGGAAAGCTGATATTGCTTCTTTGGGCCTACAATTAGACACAGGGCAGTTAAGAGCTACATTACCTTAAATAACACAGGTACAAGACTTTAAACAAGCGGAGAGGTTATTGCAACATTGGCAGAAGTACATGAGTGCCCTAATTAAATGTTAATTTACAGATACCTTGAGCTAGTTCACATCCAACCGCAGAAGCGTACACAGCTGTAGGACTGCTTTGTTCACTTTCAAAACAATAAATGTGTTCAGAAAGAAACAAAACCAGATCATTTTTGCATAAAAACTAGAAAGCTACACACAATTAAAATACTGATTTTACAATGTTTCCAAAACAACCACAACATCAGGATTAAATGGAATTCAGATTTCACTGGAAATATGAAACAATGAAGATAGTCAAGAGAAAAGATAACTAAAGTTTCAAATTCCTGGTTCTGCATGCCAAACAGGCAGGCTAATTTCTACCCTATTATGACTCTCTGGGTGCTAACATACCCCAATCCACATGCCTCTTCAAAGCCGGGAAATATACTTGGCAGAGGTGTTAACTACATCTTTAAATACCACAGTGTAGATAAAAATTCAAGAAGACCTAAGGCTTCTTTCCATTGGAAACAAACAAACAAAAAAAATAAACCCCCCAAAAAGGCAGACACAAAAAATATTCATTTAAAAAGGCAGCACTGTTTTCTCACAGCTTCCTTTGAGTAAATTCTGACCTAGGCCAAGAAACTGAAAATTATGTAGAGAGAGCTACCACAGTAGAAATAAAATAATCCACAGAGGGAAAAGATTTTATTCAGAGTGCCAAAATATCAGAAATAAAGTTGTGGAAGTATCTGACATCTAAAAATTCAGCAAACACTGAAAAGCTGCCCAGAAAATTAGTTTGTTAGGATCCCAGGTAATCTACTTTTCATCTTATTTATAGCTGATAGAGTCAAAGGGAGCATTGTACTGACAAAATGTGTCATGTTTCTGGGAGATAATCTTCTTACAATGTGAGAGTGGGTCTGTGAACTACTTGGCCTTTAAATGAGAGGGGATGGCTTCAAGACGCTTGACAAAGAATATCTTAAATATGCAGTTTTTGGTCTTATCTGATGGCAAAACTCAATCACTTTTGCTATTCAGAGACTGGCAGTTCTCAGACTTCTTGAAAAGCAACTGTTTCTTAAACAAATCCACAGGTCTTACCTAGCATTCCTCTGGTGGGTTTATGTCTGAACAAAAATGAGACACAATGCAATCGCACATTACACAATGCAATGCAACTTGAGAACTACCATGACTTCTGAGACTGCAGAAGCTGTAGCTGATCAAATACAACACTGTGAAGGTAGAAGAAAGCTACATGTTATAACCCTTCCACAAATTTAGCAATTTTTTCTTTAAAATACTTGTTTGCCTCTCTGCAAGGTATTCCAGTATGAATTTTATGATATTATTCTGAGTTAACAATCATTTTTTTCCCCCTAGAATGTAGTTTCCCATTACAGGGAAGAAGTTCCTTCACAGGAACACTGGATCAGAAAAAGACATTCTAGTAATCTGTTTTCATATCCATATCCTAGCCATAATTTCATCAAGCTCCACCTAAAGTTTTAAAATTCATTAAATTCATTAGAATTTTCGCAGAAAGCAGCTTACAGAACAACTTCAACAGGTCTCCATTAACTTGATAGCTAACGAACATACAAATTGTAGGTCATATTTGCCTTTTCTATGAGCAACCTCCATCTGGATCAGCAGATTACCTACCTCATTCTATTACCATTTGTATCTGAGCACTCCAAATACCTGACTGGAAAACAGTTGTATTTTATATTTTTAGGCAGGTCATGTATTCAGTCTTAAATGTCAGGAATTTAAACTTCTTTAATAGCTTGTAATGATACAGCAGTAGCATAGCAGTTTATAAAAGCCAGTTGGATCTCTGTAAATAGCTTATTGAGGAACAACAGTATCACTCAGGAAACATACCAGCTCAAAAATACATTATATTTCATTCCCTCTCTCTCTTCGTATCCCCGTGCCTTTCTTCTAAAATCACAGAATCGGTTGGGTTGGAAAAGCCCTTTAAGATCAAGTCCAACCATTGCCCCAGCACTGCCATGGCCACCACTAAACCATGTCATTGAGGTGTTCATCTACACGGTTTGTGAACACTTCCAAGTGACTGTGACTCCACCAGTGCCCTGGGCAGCCTGTTCCAATGCCTGACCACCATTTGAGGGAAGAAATTGTTCCTAATATCCAGGCTAAATCTCCCCTGGCACAGCTTGAGGCCGTTTCCTCTTGTCCTATTGCTTGTTCCCTGGTAGAAGAGACCAGCCACCTCCTGGCTCCATCCTCCTTTCAGGCAGTTTTAGAGAGTAATAAGGTCTCCCCTGAGCCTTCTCTTCTCCAGACTAAACACCCCCAGTTGCCTCAGCCATTCCTCAGCAGACTTGTTCTCAAAGTCCTTCACCAGCTCCATTGCCCTTCTCTGGCCCTGCTCCAGCACCTCAATATCTCAATATACTAGCATGGTATAAACTCTTTAAAGTGAACTTGTATTTAATCCCCTGAATTATCTGATTCCCTGTTTAATTCTCAGAGTAGTTCTAGACTGGACACCACTATGATACCCTCCCCAGTATTCATAAAAATACTGTTTGCTTCAGCTGAACGGACTATTTTTCATCATGAGCACCACTTACTTCTCTTTTTCCCTTCCTTTCTGTCACCTTCCTCTGATGTTAAAACCAAAATCATCAGCTGGAACGGTGATAATTAAATGAAGATAACAACAAACCTAGCTGACCTGTCAGATTAAAGGAGGTTCTTATGTCTCATTAGCAGTGTAATAATTAAACAATTTAGTGGATTATTCTCACTACTCTAGCATACAGGCACTGTAGTGAAGATCAGGATATTAGACCTCTGAAGAAGCTGTTAACTGGGTTGTATCTTGATAGCTATTTGAGGAAAACCCACTCCAGATTATTGTCTGAAATTATAGTAAAATAATTTCAGGATCTGGGGGCTGTCAGTGACCAGCAGTGGAACACTTCACTGGGGAGCAGCTGTCTGAGCTCCGTGCGGCTTGGGTGGCTGCAGGGCTGGAACAGTACTTGGGAAAGACCCTGAGGTGGCTGAGGCGGAGGGTGGGGAAGGCCCTATGTCCAGGGAAGCCCCCGGCCCTCCAGCTCCAGCCACCACTGGATGCCCCTGCACACTGCAACAGCAACAGCTGATTTCTCACTTGGAATGAATACATAGTATTCACAAAATTATCTTCTCTAACGTACCAGTTTTCTTTTTGAAGAAGACCATCTCCATGTAGTTTCTGGACTTGAAATACTTTTTTCCTAATAAATATTTGAAAATGTGTGGTTCTTTCTGAAGAGCTGTGACACCAGGGAAGAGAGGACAGTTGAGAATTCATGAAGATGCCCTGGTTTTCATTGTGAAACCAAAGCCACAGCTCATGTTTCCAGTTTCAGTCTTATTTCACTTGTCTCTAAAACGTTTCAAACTCTTGAAAGGGGAAGGGCTCTTCGACAAACGCGTACTACCCAGAAACTACATTAGTGATGGGTAATTGATTCCTGGACTCCTTCCCAGTTGCTCTTGTGCAGATGAGTGAAGTTAACTCCCACTGTACGCAAACAGACTCAATACTTCCTTGAACTCTCGACAAATTCTCATGGTCTGCAACTGAATTAACTTGCTCAATGGCCAGAAGCTCCTGCAGGTGGAAACTGTAGTACAGTAGGGGAAATAATATTTCCAAAGGATGGCATTTGCAGATATCCAGGTGGTTTTTTTTTTGGTTGGAGAGGGGTTTCCACACCCAAGCAGGTCATATACCAACTCTCTTGCATAAAGTGGGAAAGTATCTGGAAAAAAAATCCCTTTCAGTTTTTCCAACACTCACAAAGAACATCTTGAGGTTGGGCTCTTTTTTGTGTTTTTTTTTTTTTCTTTCTCGGAAGAAACATTATTTTCAGGTGCTTGACTTTCAATTGTTTTCAGAGCAAACCCTTCCCCGAATACGGACGTGCCCTTCTGCCGCTCAGCCTCGAACTGGCAGTCAGAGGAAGAAGTTGATTGGACACACGAACCCGAAACAGAAAAGAACCCGGCCCTCACCCCTGGCCCTCCCGACCTGATAATGTCGGTCGTGCTGTGACCGTTCCATGGCTCCCGGAGCAAGGACTCCCCCGTCATGGTGCCCGTGCCCGCGGCGCTAGGCCCGTTGCACCGGCCGTCCGCGGGACAAGTGCTGGCGCTGTCGGCGCTGACAGCAGCGGCAAGCGGGTTCGGAGGGATCTTCCGGACACGACCCCAAGAGGAGTGGAGTGGAGTGGGGTGGGGTGGGGCGGGGCGGGGCGGAGCGGAGCGGGACGGGCAACCCTCCTCAATAGCAGGGGGAAAGCGCCGCCACCTGACCGCCCTCGTGGTATTTAGAGGAGCGCTGTAGCCGGTGCTCCGCCGCGGCATTCTGACGGGTGCCATGGAGGGTCGTGGCATCGAGAACCCGGTGTTTGACCCGCCCACCCCCGACGCCGGCAGCCAGCGCCAGGCGAGCTCCCCCAAGGTAGATGGCGGCATCCCCGCGCAGTCTGGGGAGGGGCTCTGCGGTTGGGGCTGCTTTACCCCTAGGGCTCTGCAGGTCTGCAACAGCCCTGAGGGCTTCCTGGCGATGTACAGCCTGCTGGCCATCCTCCAAGGTAAGCTTCTCCGGAGACGCAGTGAGGTGCTGCACTCCTTCCCACCTTCGTTGTGGGTCCTTCCTGCTGCCCTGGGCGCATCTTGTTATCCGTTCTGGAGCTGTGGGGGAGCCTGGTTTGGGGCAGGAAGGTGAAGAGTGGTGGTGGTGGGTGAGGGGAGATAGGGTTCCTCCAGCTGCCTGAGTCTAGTGTTGGTGCTGAAAAGTGACGTTAGTCACTAGACTCTGGCTACGGGAGGAAGTGCCCCAGTGTCCTGGATGGTACTGCTCTCTGTACTTCTCTCAGTTCCTCATTTTCTTATTTTCCCATCCACCTTTTTGACCACTGTCAAGCCCACGGCCCCATCAGCTCTGTGCTTCATGCTCTGCTTTTCCCTATACTGGATCCCCATTGCTCACGTTCAGCTAGTGCACCGTATGTGCCGTGCAGGTTGAGACAGCTGGTCCAGGGAAGAAAACAAATGCTGTAAAGTGATAGCAGTGTAGTGCCCTAGCATGTACTTTGTTGCCTCCCAGTTAGAAAGCTACCTTAGCATGTAGCATGGTTGAGTGGGACTTCGGGTAATTTATGTGGCTTTAAAAACATTTGGTTTGTTCCGTGAATCCTAGTGCAGCCATTTTTAGCACATAGCTAGGGGATTAACCTTGAGGGGAACCTGAAATTTTGCTTGCTCTTAATATCAGTTGTTCAGCTCCAGATATTTTTTTCCATGTTTTTGGCTTTCTGTAACAAGATCTATTGGGGCCTTGAAGTAACTGGGATGGTCCAAGGAGAACTGAGCAGCAATATCATAGGAAACTCTGTCCCCTTAGGATGATGTGGGTGTTGGTTATGCCGCTTATGTAGCTCTTTGTCATGTTACCTAAATGGGGATGTATGCCAGACCTCATAGAGGTACCTACCTAATGTAACTCAAATTTAGGGCCTAATGTGAGGAAAATTCTGATTCTTGTTTTGGAGGCTTATGTAGGTGTAGCTGTTACAGCCTTTGTGGCATTATTAATTATATGTCATCTGGATTTTCACAAGAAGTACCCTTCCTTTGCCTAGATTATAGAAAGGAAATCGGGCACTGATTGCAACTCTTTTTGAGATGTGGAAAAAAAAAAGGATATTTTCACACAAGAAATTCACTACTGCATGTGAAACTTTGGAAAAATATTCAGGGCTTGCAGCTCCAGAACTTAGATAAAAGCACTGGGTTTTGAAGTTGTGTGAGCTACTACTGTACTGTAGCTTTCCCCTCCAAATTACAGAAAGCATCACTAAGGAAGATAAAATACGTCTATAAAACTTGCTAATATTTAATGTACCTCCAGGAAAGTTTATTTCCTAATGTGCTGAAGAATAATGAAATAATCCTTAACACACTTTTGATTTATGTAAGCTGTTACACTAGACTTTTTTACACAATGAGTGAATACAGTAGGTGGTTTACTGCAGAGACATGGTACAAGTGTATAAATTTCTGTATGTGTGTTTCTAACTGAAGGCATGTATTTATTATGCTATCTTCTAGCTGCCCTAGGAAATAAGTTACTGTTATCATTAACATCTGATATGCTGCATTTTAGCTTCTCAGGAGATTGCAGGTGAAACTTAAATCTTCATTTCTGGCTGTTTCTGTTTCAAGGACATGTGAAACCTGTATTTCAAGAATAGAAGACACTATGTGTAGAACATGGAATACATGACTAATACCTGCTTTCTGTATGGTACTCACAGGTGCATAAATGTATGATTGCATCTTGTCATGCAGTAATCAGATATGCTGCAGTAGCAAAAAAGTTATCTCACTATCTTGGGTACAAGCAAGACAGTTTTTTGTAATGTCAGTAATAATTTTGGTAAATGAAACAGCAGAACCACTGTTTGAGCCTAGCCTGGTCTAATCTGTCTGAAGACTTTGAAAGCACTAATACTTAATATGAGGACATATTGTGGACAACAAGATTTGTTGCTGGAGAGACTTTTAAATTATTATTTATTTTTTCTTTTTTAATTGTGTGCCTGCAATCCACGGCTTCAAAGCTGCTGTACTTTCAAAACCTGTAAAGTGCTTTCTGTTGAGTGGATGAAGAAAAAATACTCCTGTGTCTTGTTCGACCAAATGAAGTTGGTTTATGATTAACCTAGATTTTGTGGTTCAATGCACACTGTACCTAAACTTCTACTACATCTTCTAAACAGATGTGGCAAGACAATAAGGGTTTGGATGATAGTTAAAAAATAATTTGTACTACTCTTTAAGTGTTGAGATGTCCTTGTAGGATTTGTTTTTCAGATCAAGTTAGTGTCAACCAGGTTCCATCTTTCCTGAAGAAACTTTAGTGATTAATCACTATATGAATGACAGCACAACTTCTCCAATGCAATCATCACATTTACTTTTTTTACAGATTAAATGTAATTATCCAGTAAGATTAACTGCAAGGTTTTATGGCTGTTAGGATGTAAATTAAAGGTGACAGCTTAAACTACGCATAAAGACACTGTCCTGAATACTGCTATTTAATCCTATAGGAATTTAAGTGTGGTGGTCAGACTTAAAGATAAAATCATAATTGTTAATAAAAAGGCCATAATAGGATGTTAGGAAGCTATGATTATGCCAAGACTTAATTCATTATAGAATGATGAAGTGTGTAGTTATGGTGTGTATTTCACTAATAAGATAATAGCTGGTTGATCACAGATTTGGAGTGATATCTTTTTTTAACACGTAGAGCACTCCAGGCAGAACTGTTGAACTTCAGACTGTGTAGTTGCACTTCTGGATGGTGCAATGCTTGTTGAAACTTAACTTAAATACATGGTTGTCCCCAGTCATCTGTCATTCTGTTCTTAGAATGACAATAGAGAATTGTGTTTGAATTTTAGAAAGAGGAAGGATAACTGTGGGGTCCGTGTCAGACTGCAGAAGTCTTGACCTTATTTGCAATTGTGACTCCAAGACTAACAACTTTTTTTCAGGTTGTATATTTTATTATGAGCACAGTTTAATTAGGGTACCATGAAGTTACCTGACAGCTAGAAAGTATGTTTATTCATCTCACTTGCAGCAGAATACTATTTGGGAACTGTCAGAAGTAAACTCCTGAAAGTTTAACTACTTGGTGTTGGAAAATGTGAGGGAGGATGGGAGATTCAAGTTTGTATGTACGAACAACACGTATAGAAAATGAACAGTGTTTATAAGCATGCATTGGCAGCTGCAGCTTACTTGCTTCTACTCCTGGATCAGTTTTTTGGAGTTCACCTGTGCCGAAGTATGGAAGCTTGTGCAAGGTCTTTTCTCCAGGTTGTTTTGACACTTCTGGAGCTTGAAGATTCAGAGGGCAAACTTTTTTCTCAGTTATAGTAAATCACCTCAGTTAACTCTGAAACAGTTGCATCGTACTTTTAAGTATGTTTTATATTACAGAGGAAGGGTGTCTGTTCAGAAGCTGCTTGGTATCTTCCCTTCATGGTGGCAGAGAGGAAATGTTTGACAATTTTTATTTGAAAGCTGTGTCCTGAACTCTTCCGTTGTAGCTTGTATTCTAATGCAAGTCAAACTTGACAAATTTTCTTTTAATTTGTACAGAATCTTATAATGCTGCAATGCATTTTGTTTGAAATCTCTGTGCCTCAGACTGAATCTGGAACCTTAATACATTAATGGATTTTGAGGCATGTTTTTTTCCAAATTAATATTTGAGTGTTGAATCTTTAATGCCCACAACAGAGAAGAAAATGGAATAGTTCTGTGCAGTTTGGCTGGCTTAAGTTAGCACTGTATCATTCTACTACCTATCTGGATTTTAAAGCTAATTAAATACCTTTAAGTATAGCTTTGTAAATATATTTGTTTTAACCGTTCCGGCATACAGTGGTAACTTTACCCTTGCAACTTTATCAAATTAAAGTACCTTTGAGTAATTTTTTTTTTTTTTTTTGTAGGTATGGTGGTAAATGGCCTGATCAACATTAGTATTTCAACAATTGAGAAGCGTTACGAGTTGAACAGTTCACTCACTGGCTTAATCTCTGCAAGCTATGATATTTCTTTTTGTATATTGGCACTGTTTATATCTTTCTTTGGAGAAAGAGGGCACAAACCACGATGGCTTGCTTTCTCAGCATTTATGCTAGGACTGGGCTCACTTATATTTTCCTTACCACACTTCAGTAGTGGAAAATACCACTTTGGAACTAAACTTGAAGGTAAGATTATCCTTATGTTTTGGAAGGGATTTTAAAAAGTCTGTGTAGCTACTTGGTGAAACTTTTACTTTGGTACAACATAATTAATCTCTGTCAGAGTCCTAAAAATATCTTTAATCTGAAAATAAAATGATTCTGTGAAATCGTGAAGTTCAAGAGGTGCCTCTTTGCACAGTAGACTTCCGTTTTCAGAAGAGATCTGTGTGTCAATATCAGTTCTTTCTCATAAGCAATACTTGAATAAAATTTTTTTGACTTGTGCAGATGAATGCAGTTAAAATTTACTTTGTGTAAAAATGATCTGGCATTTCTTTGAATAGAAATGCAAGTTAGGTCAGTGATTGTCCTGAGGTCAGCAGTAGCAGTCATTTTTCTTCTTTGTAGCTGGTGCAGTGCTGTGTTTTTGACTTTCAGCCTGGGAACAATGCTGATAGCACCGATGTTTTTAGTTGTTACTAAGTAATGTTTACTGTGACCAAGGACTTTCTGAGTCTCATGCTCTGCCAGGGAGGAGGGGAAGCCGTGAGGAAACAGAGACAGGATACCTGACCCCATCTAGCTAAAGGGGTATTCCATACCACAGCACATCATGCCCAGTATATAAACTGGAGGAGTTACCCAGGAGAGCTAGATCACTGCTCGGGTCGGGCTGGGTATTGGTCGGTGGGTGGTGAGCAGTTGTATTGTCTTCCCTTGTTATTTCCCTTATCATTATTATTATTGGTGGTAGCAGTAGTGGTTTTGTTATTACCTTAGTTACTGGACTGTTCTTATCTTAACCCATGGGATTTACATTCTTTCCATTCCCTTCCCCATCCCTTCAGGAGCTGGAGGAAGAAGAAGTGGGGAGAGTGAGCGAGCGGGTGCATGGTTCTGAATTACCAGCTGAGCTTAAACCCTGACAGTGACGTAGAATAAATGTTAAAACCGTTGCACTTGGTCTTGCTGGAAGGTGACTACATGTTGCAGTTCTTTTAGGCTTTGAACTATTAAAGGCATCTTGTAACAAGTTTCATCAAGTTCTTCTAATGTTGATAGAAACTTGTGGGTTTCTTTGAAGTAGAGGTAACAAGCAGTACTGAACTATACTGCACAAAGCAGTACTGAAATTGTGGGAGTAGCCAGCTCTCAGGAGGTCTTGTATATCTTTTCCCATAAAGCCAGATTTTAAGTGTAGTGTGCTTAATGCATCTCAGCTTAGTGTGGTACACCTGTAACTAACAAACATTCAGATATGTTTAAAGCAAGATGACTTAATATTTCAGGATTGTCTTAATTGTTACTGCAGTATTTAATCAGATTTATGCCTTCAGTGACTAAGCAGAGTAGTGCTCACTAAAAAGAATAAGTAGCTGTTAAGCAATCTGATGAAAGGGTTCTCAGTATTCTGGTGGCTGATTCTCAAATTAGTGTTTTTCAGGTGTTAGTCACATTGCACACTATGCTGTCCAGACATCAAGCATTAGTTCAGTAACTTTGGCAAGCTATTGTTCCCCATCTAATAAGTGAGGATGTGAGGCAGAAGTCAATTTAACTGTTAAGGCCAAAAGGAAAAACTCTTCAGTGTTTGGAGATAGAGCAGATGATTACTTGTTCCTGGCTCTATTACTGTCTGCAATTTCACTGTTGTTCTCCCTACTACACTAGTATGGAAGGGGAGCTGAATTTAATACAAAACAATTCCAACTGGCAAGGTGGGAATCTGAAGGGAGATGGCCAACTACTGCAGGTGATCTCTCTCTCTCTTATCAATTTTGGTTGAAATATCAGAATCAGTTACTGTTTCATCAGAGATCTGTCCCTTTGCCTGCCATTAAAGATGCTGAGGTGTGATATCTGTTAGGGGTCATACTCTATATGGACTTTTGAAATCTAAAAGCTGTAGGAAGAATTTTAAATGGAGCATATACTTTTTTCTCCATGGCAGTGTAAGCATGAATTCATGCTGATTTGACTATTGTAATGCAGCTACCAGTGCTGTGACTGTGGTGAGCAGATTTAAGGACTTAAGCTGACTTAAACAAAATGTTGTCAAAGATAAATGACTACGGAGTGCAGGGATTGTCTGCACCATGACAAATCTGCAGGTGCTGTGTAACAGCATCCTTTAACAGTTAAATTAACCACAGTGTATGATTTTCTAGGATGTCTGGTTTAGCTAGTTCTGATGATGAAGCATCTTAACCATACGTTTAGCTGCAGAAGTAAATAGGACCACACCCTGAACACTTTGCTTGTAAAAGTCTTTTATTTGATGCTTTGTATTGAAATTTTTGAACAGTTCCTAGTTGATTACTTGAGTATTTTTTTCATGTGTCATATGCGAGTACAGTGAGCTTCAGCTGCAGGACAGCTTCAAAGTATGATTTAGCCCGGTATTTATTATGTCTGCCAGGTTAATTAACAGATCTTGTCTGGAATACAAAATACATCTAGTGGTCAATATAAGGCTGACAGACTTCCTGGAGCTTAATGTTTTACCTTGAGATATTAATTTAATTTTGAGTATATACATATCCTACTCTACAAAACTATTCAGTTGCAGATCTTTATCACAGTAACACTTTAGATAGTTTGTTTTCTATTGAAAGAGTAGCTAACCAATGGTCTACCTATTTACAGAAATCTTTAGCAACATCAAACGTGCCTTATCTCTAGAAAAGCTTCAGACTCAAAATTGTAATGCAGATGTAACCTGCTGTTTTTTCTGCTTTTTCAGGTTACGTAGGGTCGTCAGTGTTGCAGCAGGCTCTGATATTGATAGTCAGGAGCTCCATCTACTGGTTTGTCTGTAATAAAACCATTTGTTATTGGTTACCCATAGTGCAGAGGAGTAACAACTGCCGATGCTATAAGCAATGTGCTTTTTAAACTTCCATCTCGGATCTCATTGAAACATACTTAAATTTGTGAAAGATGTCTGTTACAGCACATGTGAAGTGTAGATCTTCACTTGACACAAGATAACTTTATTGTGAAGTTGGTCAAGCACTGGAACAGATTACTCAGGAAGACTGTGCAGTCTGTTTTGCTTTTAAAACCTTGCTTGGTGAAGTCCTGGGCAACTGATCTACATTCTGCTTTGACACTGTTTGGATTAAGTTTGACAACATGACTCCCTGATACCTCTACCAACCTGAATTATTCCGTGAGTCTCTTCAGTGACAGCATGTGAATGACTTCTTTGGAAAAAAAAAAAAAAGAGCTGTCATTGTTAATAACACACCCTAGCCATTTGAGTTGAAATGTGTGTTGTGTGATCTAAGAAGAGGGAGAATAATTTGAACACTTTTCTTCAGCTCTCTGTTTCACTGGAGACTCAGGTGATAGCCAAGTCATTTAGGGTATGAGAGTGAACCTTCTCAGAAGGGCATTAATTGACCTTCCTTCCCAGAACATGCCAAGGGCAATTTACGAGTAGAGAAGACTGTGGCATTTGTGTACTAATGGTGAGAGAATGTGTGTGATGCTCTGCTCTAATTTGACATCATTAGTATATCTGTGGTTTTTCTGTTGGGTTTGTTCTCTGAAGAGATTATCTAATTAGTCAAATAATGGGTAGTGCTGCTCTTCTCTGTATTGCTTGGCCTAATTCTCTATAGCATTTAGATGTGCTGTAATACTGTAACATCTGCCTTTAGAAACAAAGACTATGTCTTCATTCAGTGTGTCCATTGAAGCTTTGAGTTTCTTATTCAAGACTTAAAGGTGAGATGTATTTCTGTTTATAAAGGAACAGAAAACAAGCTGTTCTTTATTTCTCACTCCTGGCAACTCTAAACTATTCCCTGCCTGCCAAAAGACAAAAAAACCCCACACCTGCTGGCTGCAGTTCCAGGTACAAAGAAAACCAAGTCAAGAGACCTGTCTTAGATCTAATGTAATTGGTAAAGCATCTCACAGTTGGTTCTACACTCTTGCCTAGTATGTTGTATTAGATACTTGGGGATATTTTGGCCTTTGCATAACTTGAATTCAGGTAGAAAATTTAAAGCATGCAGGAAGGCTTATAATGACTAGCTCTGTTGGATGGTGTTGCCTTTAATGCACTTCTGCTCTTTAAAATGCAAGTCTAATCCACTGACTTTTAGAAGGAAAAGAAGTTTAATAAGAAAATCTAGTTAAAAATGGTCAGCCACCCATCTTAAACTTCTCCCAGAGTCTTGCTTAGCTAAGTTTAGAGTCTCTGGGTTGTATAAAAGGCAGTACCTTTTCACCATTGTTCTTATGACAGCAGCAAACAGGCTTGTGGATCTAATCCAGGTTAGATTTAACCTGTGCCACTTTTAACAATCTGCTTAAACCTTTGACTGGTACAAGATTGGTACTCTTAGCTTTGTGGTAAATGATCTTTGCTTTTAAAGTGTTTCTTGGGAACATGGAATATAGTCTATGACTCCACTCAGCAAGTGCATGTGTACTTGGTGACTTTAAAAAAAAACCAAGTCTGATAACAAATAAGAGTACGGTGATTGTATTAAAGTGCATATTGATGGTTTTCTTAATTTTGTAGTTACACTAGATTACATGATTCTGAAAACAAAGTAATGTAGTAAACTTCTCACCTCAATGTGAGGATAAATTTCCTAGGGCATTTAAATTGAAGAGCTAGAAAAGTGAAAGTATCTATAATCAATTAGTTCATGGCAGTCTAAAAGCCTGAGACAGTGTAGGTGGAGATGGGAATTCATGAAGAGCCACATTCTGTCAAGAGTTTGATTTATATTACCCTACACAATCTACTTATTTTGTGAAGATCAAATTAGGCTACGCTTTAGTCATTAGCATAATTTGTGGTATTTTCTTGCTCTGCGTTACTTGTTTTCTGATATATTTTATCAAGTTACTATTGTTTGTGTACTACAATAAAATACCTAGCTAGCTGCTGTTTTAGGCTAGCCCGGTAGGTATTGGAGACTAACTTATAACTGCAGGTATATTGCATATATATGCATTGCACATGAATACGTGTATGTTAACAAGATGTTGCAGGACATGTTTTTTTTTTTAATAATCAATTTTAGATCCTGTGCATTTAAATAGTACAAAGCTAACCTGATTTAAAGATTTGATTTTTTTCAGAAAAGAGGAATCATAGAATTATATGTTGGGGTTGGAAAGGACCTTAAAATCACCTAGTTCCAACCCCCCTGCTGTGGACAGGGTCACCTCACACTAAACCATGTCACCGAAGGCTCTGTCCAACATGGCCTTGAGCACTCCCAGGGATGGAGCAGTTCCAGTGCCTCACCATCCTCCCAGTAAAGAACTTCCCCTGTTTTAAGTTTAAACCCATTACTCCTCGTCCTATCACTACGGTCCCTAATGAAGAGTACCTCCCCAGCGTCCTTATAGGCCCCCTTCAGATACTGGAATCTGCTCTGAGGTCTCTGCTCAGCTTCTCTTCTCCAGGCTGAACAGCCCCAACTTTCTCAGCCTGTCTTCATACAGGAGGTGCTCCAGTCCCCTGATAGTCCTTGTGACTCTCCTCTGGACTTGTTCCAGCAGCTCCATATCCTTCTTACGTTGAGGACGCCAGAACAGTACTGCAAGTGTGGTCAGATGAGAGCAGAGTAGAGGGGCAGGATCACCTCCTTCGATGTGCTGGTCACACTTGATGCAGCTCAGAATATGGTTACTTTCTGGGCTGTGAGTGCACACTGAAGCTGGCTCATGTTAAGTTTCTCATCAACCAACACCCCCAAGTCTGTTTTCACAGGGCTAGTCTGAATCACTTCTTCACCCAACCTCTAGCTATGCCTGGGATTGCCACAACCCAGGTGTAGGACCTTGCTGCAAAAGAAAGCAAATGGAGTATGTTTTCCATTTATTGTCAAAACCTTTAGTCTTCAGAATAGTGATTCATAATAAGCTGCTCCCTGTGTGGCTTCTGCATAGCATTAAAATGAGTATTGTTCAGAAGTGGAAAGAAAGGAAAATTTTAATGATTCCTTCTCTTGAAGTGAGAATTTCCCATTGCTCTATATTGGCCGGTTTCTGTGCAACAGCACTGAGTCACCTGTTGTGTGCTACGTGATTTCACTTCCGCTATGGTGTTGTTCTTTCAGGAAGAAGCCATGATAAAGCCCATGGATGCATTTATAACATCAGTGTTGACAGTTCTCTTTAAATATTTGCTGTGTGGGAAGCACTTCCTTACATTTTTATATCCTGTGAGACCAAAGTGTGGGCAAGTTAGCCCTTTGTGTGCTTAAAGTCTGAAGTGTTTTTAAATGTAAAACAACCTGAGAAAAATCATGTAATAATTGTGTAGTAAAGTATTGAGAACTTTTTGGTGTACTTATTTAATCTGAAGTGTGCTTTCATATATTTGATCAATGTGTCTTGTTTCTACCGCACTGGTGGGTTTGTCCTGTTCTTTAGTGTTGTGTGCTTTTCTGTAGACAAATCTGAAAACAGCCATGATGCTCCTTTGATCTTGTCCCTGGGGTATCTGCTACTAAAAGCGCAGTGATAGCAAGGGGAATAAGAGAAAACCTACTTCCTGTCTTCACTCTTTTCTCTTCCATTCTTATAATGCCAAGCATGACAGGATCAGATGCAACTTCAGGCTGCTATACCTCTGCTTCCCTCTTTGTATGTGTGGACAAGTTGAAAAGCTTTACATTAGCTTCTCATTCTGTAGATACAGCAGTGTGTGCCTCATGAGCGTTAGTGGTGTGGGATTTTAAGGTTGGTTTGTTTGTTTTTTGTTTTTTTTTGTTTTTTTTTTTTTTTTTCCTTGAGAAACACTTCTCAATAGAGTGTATGAGAAGAGAGCATTATCTGTGACTGACAACTGCACTTTTCTCTCCAGCAGTCCAACTTTACCTAGGTTGTCCAGACTGTTTTGTCACTTAAGAGCAGAAGTTGTTAGTGCTCTCAGAATCATTAAAAAGTACAAGAACAAAATTGTCTGTTTCCTAGGAGTATTCACTAACCTGTTGCATGACAATTTGACAGGTTTGGCTTGCTTTGTTTGTTTTTCATATTTGGTCAATAATACTTTCAAAAAGCCAAAGTGTTTTAATAAGCCTATTTTACCCATCTTTCCTTCCTGGTAAGGAAAAAAAGCCTGAGCCATAATAGTATTTCTTTTGGGGGATATGATGTCACTGTCAAATGGAGTATATTACTATATATTACTAGGACTGAAAATGATAATTGTGTGCAGAGTACTTTGTCTATAATTTAGCTTTCAGTATAGGGTTATTTTTTATTTCTGTGTGTGGGTTTTGGTTTGTTTGTTTTTTTTTTTTGTTTGTTTGTTTGTTTTTGTTTTCTTCAGTTAGACTGTGACAAGCTTGGAAACAGAATTTTAAAGTCTTGCTCTCTGTCTTTCAGACACATGTCAAATTCCAGGAACAAGGTCTGCTAACTTCACTTGCAGTGCCAGCGCAATGTCTTCACTTTCCAACTATCTGTATGTTTTTATCCTGGGACAGCTGATGCTGGGAGTTGGAGGAACACCACTGTATACTTTGGGGACAGCTTTTATTGATGATAGTGTCGCAAAACACAAATCTTCCCTTTATATAGGTAACTTTTAAAACTGCTTATAACACATTGTCTCGACAGGTCATAGACTGCAATGCCTTTGAAATGTTTTTATGAATTTCTCTAATTAAATCTATCTTGTCATTGTTCACTTAGGTGCATAAAGTGTTTCTTTATCGGCTACTGTGCATGTTAGGTGGTAGCCTGGTGTGTCAAGTCTTGTCAATAGTTGTTTGGGGGAGTGTGGTAATGCTACTTTGTACCTGTCTTGCTATTTTTTCATGTCAGTAACTTAAGGTTATTAAGTGGCTAATATAGCCTGCCTGTCAAGAGCAGAATGAGCTGTAAAGAAAGTTTGCTTTTAGTGTCAGTCTTTGAAAACTACTGTGTATCAGGCTAGTAGCCAGGCTTTACTGTGTCCTGTATCAGATTTATTTACCTTCTAACAGTAATCTGTGCATCATGTGATCAATGCCGTTCTCTAGCCACATACAAATTTGCACTTCAGGAGGAAATAGTGGAAGTATCTTTCTTTAATTGACAGTAAACGGATTGTTTAGAAACATGGAGAATGTGTCTTACTGCAGAGCTGTTTGAAAACAAAGCAATAGTATTTCTTAGCAGTGGTTTTTAATTTTTCCTAATCAGCATGGCTATGTGCATTTTTACTGCCAAGTTCGTTGTAGTATAAGTGTGTTTTCTGTGGGTATGAAGATGTTTACTATTATCCCCATTTTAGGTGTAAGCTGGTAAAAGTATGTTAGCTATACTGGTAATTGCAGGAGGAATTCAAAACATCTTAGATTCCTGGACTGTTTTCCAGACTAAAGCAGTATTTCTAGGGGGCAAAATTGAAATTATCATCTATTTACATACAGCTCTTGCTTAATTGTTCTAGACAAGCCACTTCATTTAGTGCCAACAAATAGAATAGTTGCACATGTTAAATCCTAAATAACAAAGACAACTTTTATTTTTCCTATTTCTTTATATTGAGAGAGAAGATTACACTTTCATTTGTTTCTTCTGAGGCCAGTGAGTTAAATAGAGCAGAATTACAAATGTCTGCGTGATGAGGGGATCATGAAGTAGCCTGAAAACTACTAGGAAAATGCTGTCACTGTTCAAACTTAAAAATAACAGATCAATACAATAAATTAATGTTTGTGCAACCTTCAGACAACTGCTGAGTTCAGAAGAACTCCATTTATATATATTCTGTCCAGTATAACAGGACTAAAATGCAAGTGAGTGGACAGGCAGCTACAGTAGTCCTTAATTATTTTTCTTGCTTCTATGCAATGTATCGAAGATTTAAAATACATTGTGTTGTTTTGCCTAATGTGAGGATTGTGCATCTCAGCAAAAAAGAAGCAAACTAAAACTTTCTTTTAGTGTCTGTAAATAGCTCCTAACATCTTAAAATGTAAGGTTGCAACTTGTAGGTTGGTAGTTTCTTTCTCTTCTGAAACTGGGTGCATTTTCATGAGTGCTCTCTTGCTGAACTGAGGTATCTGCATCTAAAGCCAATAAAAAGTTAAGCAATTCCAAATGGTAATTTAAACTGAATGGTCTGTAGGAGGAAATAGGTACCTTCCTAGCTAGGTTTGATGCTCTGTAGATCGAATGTGGACTTCCATTGGAAAGATCCTTTCAGCATGTCATTATTTCCAAAATATAGGAAAACCTGGGATATGTCAACTGAATGTTTATTTTACTTACTGATACTTAAAAGTCCCCTTCTGTGTCCCTTCCTCCTCTTGCACTCCTTCCCCACCCCCAATCCTCTTGCTGTCTAAAGAGCATGAAATAATGCTAAATAGTGAGGAAGCAACTTTGTAAACAACTGAGAAATTCAGATTCTTCAACCTGAAGAGTTGCATCAGGCTGAACCGCTGACTTGCAGCTTTTAAGGAGAGTTTCAGATTTTCTTGTTAAGAGACAAGTACAAATTTTGTCTTCTACATGCTGTAGTTGAAGTATGACACTAAAAAAACCAGATTGAGTTATGGAAACCATTTGGTCTGAAGCTGATTCATGGTGTTTTAAAACAAAGCTTTAAAAATGTATGGTGAACTTGATGTATTTTGTCTTCTAGGAATTGGTTATGCCATGTCACTGCTGGGTCCTGCTGTTGGCTACATCTTAGGAGGACAGCTACTTAATATTTATATTGATATCGAGATCCCAGAAAGGCAGGCTACAACTTAGTCTTTTGCTTTCTGTTTTCTTCCCCTATTAATTCTTATTAAAATCTTCATCTGTTCTCCATGTAAGGAGGAAAAAGTGGTTTTGTTTGGAAAATACTGCATTTTCAAGAGCTTCTTTAACTTGGTAACAAGGTGCATTCACAAGGGCTTCTAGCAAATGAGTTACTTCCCACAGTGAGTAGTCAACTCCATTGTGTGTGAAAGTTTCGCTGTAGTGCAAATACTTTGTTCTAGCTTTTTGAGATGCTAGCTGTTTTAAAGCTGATTAACAAAAAATGCTTTATCTTCTGCTGAGTTGCTAATTTAGGGTTAGATTGCAACTACTGATTTATTGTGCAGAAAGTTTCCCTGAGGTGGGATATGGGGAGTAGGATACTGCTACTTACCATCTGGGGAAGAGCTTGCTAGAAAATTTACCAGTTGAGTAGTCAAAAAATGACAGAAACTGTATTACTATCCAGAAACTTCATTTGCATTTTTATTTCCTCTCTTTTGGGGACTTTAGATCAATACAGTGATACTCTGAACTTCTGTATTGTCTTTCACTTAACTCATTGACTTTGATTCTTTCTAAAAACAGTTTTCTCAGTATCTTAATGCTGCAGAATCTTGAAATCAGAGTGAAATAGTGACCTTCAAATCAGAATGAATTTGACTGAGTTGAAAGCTATATTTAGTAGAATGCAGTATTATAATAGAGCTGGTGATTGTGCTTTAAACAAGCCACCAATAAATTAAATACATGTAGAAAACAAAAAAATTACAAAATTAAAATGCCTTCTGTTAAGTTAGTATTTTAAACAAACAAAAGATCTAGTTCACTGACATCTGAAATTACCGATTTAAATTCACAAATTGTAAACCTACCTTTTGCAAATTATTTTTCCAGTACAAAGATGGATCCAGATGACCCACGTTGGCTTGGAGCTTGGTGGATAGGATTTCTTGTGTGCTTTGTCGCAGTTTGGCCTCTTATAATACCTTTTTCATGCTTTCCAAAATACCTACCAGGTAAACATTTAAGAATAATGGGCTATATTGGAAGAGAGATTTGTTTTACTTCTGGGTTACAGGCTGCCGGGCTGAGTGATTGCTCTTTGTTTCTGTTTATCAGTTAACTGTTTTTTGGCTAAAACCTGGGATAAATACCTTGTTTCCAACATGCAGCCTTTAAAACAAGCAAATTAGGGCTTTGTGTATGTACTGATGTATGGTAACACTGGAAGCCAGTAGAGCATGGAAAGTGATGGTCACAATTTGGAAGGTGCTTGCAGCTGAGCACCCAGGACTATATTTGAAGATACTGTGTTACCCATCAAGAAACATAGGGAAATTTCATTGACTTAACACATGCATGCATGCATTATTGTCTTTGACTCTGTTGCCTTATTGTTTTGGGTGGAATAATAAGACATGGATCAAAGTATCCCAGAGCATTCTTCTAAAAAATAAGTTTAATACAATTTCTGTTCAGGTAGTTATTATCTAGCAGTCCCTTGAAAGAACATCTAAAGGAATGTATTGTGCTTGCCTGGAAAGAGAAATGATGGAGGAAAAGAAACAATGGAGTAGGGGCCTGGCAAGAATGTGAGGACAATTAAAAAAAAATAAAATTGAATGAGTTTCAGGATAGCTTGAAATTCTTAGGATATTTCTAATAATATCTTCTTACAGCCAAGGGTTTCTAATGGAAGCATGATGCTTTCAGCCAAATACTTCTTTCTGCAGCAGTATGTTGTTGATACTTTTATGGATCTGTACCAGTAAAATAGTCAAGAATACCTAAAATGTCTGAGCTAGTTTTGTGAAGGAAAGTAAACACTTACTTTGTTTTTTCTGACTTCAAGCCCAAGAGCACGGGTTTTCAATGATTTTGTTGTCAGTAAATATGTCCATTTGTAGGAACAGCAAAAATACAGTCTGAAAAGATCTCTGAAACACATGATGATGGAAGTGAGCTGCTTGTTGAGACCCAGGATATTGGAAAAAGCTTTAAAGACTTTCCCGTGGCTCTCCTGGTAAGGGAATTGTGATTTTACTAAAACTGGTATATTCTGAGAAATGATTTTTTTTTTTCAGGTAAAACATAAATGTTCAGAAAGGTAATTGCTTCTTTTATTGTGTTGTGGTAGGTAAGTCTCCAGTGCTGCTGATAATTTAATGCATATTCATTTTGTTGATGCTTAGGACCGTTAAAGTAAGAAAAGCATATTAGTGAAGTTCCAAATGAGAGTATCTGCTTTAAAATATAGTGACTTCTAGATTATATGGTACTACAGTGAAATAGTTTCGAGTGTAATGCTAATTTTCCCCCATAGATACTGGTGAAGAATCCGGTGCTTATGAGTCTAATAGTAGCCAGTACTTCAGAAGCTTTAGTTGCCACAGGCTTTGCCACATTTCTACCAAAGTTGATAGAAAACCAGTTTGGGAAAACATCAAGCTTTTCAGCAACCCTTGCAGGTAATGTGGCTTTTCGTTTTTACATGTTCAATTCATTTGTGCTGAGTACCTCATTAACATTATAGTTTATATTGGCATCTTGTGTTTGTCAAGATATTGCAAACAGACTTACATGAAATGCAGTTTTCATAGCAGAAATTATATTTTTGAATTTTCTTGCCTGTCCCGTGAGATTAATTCACCAAGGGTAATTCACCAAGGGTGCAGATCTAATTATTGTCTGATAGTAACCATAATTTATTCCTTCTTGTTAAAAACACATTTAGTTTTCCTGATTAAAAATCAGCTAAAGAAACATTAAGCCTTAGTCCCTACTGCCTATGAAAGGCAGCTGGAAAAAAAGCAGTGCTTACTACAGGTAAGCCAGGGCTTGACCTGGCTTTTCCGTTCTTCAGTTCTACCAAGTTACAGTGAGATAGCTTACCATAAAATGGCTAATCAGGTTATGTTATAAAATTACTGTACAGCTGCTTCTATGGTTGCCTTATTGTCGCTTACTCCCATTATCCAGTATGCAGACCTAAGAGGTAGAACAGAGGAAGATTATGAATAGATGAATATTGGAGAAACAAATGAAAAAATCCAATGGAAGAGGTGCACTAGGTAGGGTCACATAATTAACTCTGACACAATTACTTCTGAAGAACAGCATCCAGATCAAGGCAGGTAGGCCAACAGATGCTTACAGTGTGGCAGACTTAATATTTCTGGAATATGTCTTGCTAAATTACTTCAGCTGTATAGTGCTGCAATGTAAGCATATGCTAGTTGAAGTGTTCTAAGAGAAATATATCTTTGGGAGACACTTTCTGAATTACTTATTTCCCTGGATAATACCACATAGTACTTTCTCTATTCAGACATCATAGCTTCAAAATTGAGTATTTGCAAGTTTTGCATAGAAATTCATTGGATTACATGCTCAATTGTTAAGCAGTAATCAGCAGTGAAGTGGAAAAGAGGATCTTCCTTTGTTTGTCTGTAGATCTATACACTATTGCCTGTAGAATTTCTGAGTGGAAAATATTGATAGCATTAACCAGATGTACAGCTTTAAATGCCTACACTAATTTTGAAAGCTAGCTGTACCTGAACTAATGTTGAGCTAGCTAGTCTCAGTGTTACCAATGGCTATGTTAACTACTTAAAGCACTTTTGACTCTGTGTATGTGGCCTGTGCAGTTCTGCTACAGTACTTGAACTGTCTTTAAAAATAGCTGTCTCAGGTCAGTGCATGTTAAACTGAGTTCTGTGTGGTATTGTAGATTAGCCATAAAAGTGCTCAGATATGTATCTGGACTCCTAATAGTATGAAGATTAATCATGGGTTATATAGACAGTGAAACTGGCACACTGTTCTAGACTTTCTAATCTATTTTTTCTAATCTTTATGTAGATGCCTTATTGTATCTTGTGCTGTTTCTTGTATAGTGGTGATTATGGCTTTTTATTAAAAAGCTCAAAATGTGAATGTATAACAAAGAACATGAATGTGAAGAATGGACTGAAGCAGTGAAAGAGCATTACCTGTTTTCATTAAGTGGCTCAGAGATTCCTGCCCAGTATGTAGTACACTTTAAGTAATTGAGGTTTGCTATGTTGAACTTGGGTTTTGGACAACTGTAAATCAATTATGCTGTCAAGTTGAACTTCTGGAAAGGCTAAAGATAGTGTGAAGGCAGAATAAATTGCTTATGCTAACACATTCTAGTAAAATGGTTTGAAAATGACATCACATGGACTTCATCTTAAGATACAGGTAACTTCTGTGATTATTTTTTTTTTTTCCTTAGGATAAAATTGCATTTTAAATTGCTTCACTAATTATATCTTTCATTTTTATGTAATTGCTGGTGTCTTGTTTTCCTCTAGGGCTTGTATTAATTCCAGCAGCAGCACTAGGCCAAGTCGTAAGTGGCATCTTGGTTTCGAAGTGCAAAATGGATTGCAAAAGCATAATCAAGTTCATGATAGGCACTTGTTCAGTGGCCCTACTATTAAACACAGTGTTTTTATTTGCTAAATGTGGGAATGAACCTTTCGCAGGTGTCTCTGAAACATATAATGGGTAAATATGTTTTAATGAACTCTTGGGTTTGGTGATAATGTTTAAAATAAGCTACTTCACAGAATGCAAAACCTTTAAAAATGTCATATATTGCCTTTCTGTATGCAATGGAAGTGCTTTGCGGAACTCTAAAACCTTGTTCATGGAATCTTCATGCAATAGGTGATTCAGAAAATGTAATAGTACATTGCCTACAGAATGTTCTGAGCAGGCTGGTCCTGCTTGCAAAAATCCCAGCTTTTGTGACCATTTTAGGTGTAGCCATGGTATTGACTAAAGCTAATTTTCTAGCCCTGCAGAAGTGGTATGTCTTTTTGTGTCCGGTTAACCAGCTCTTGACAATCTTGGCAGTTTTTGAGTCTGCTTGTCAATATTTTCATGAGAGCCTTGATGTGAACTACACCTTACACTGATTGCAGATTTTTCCCTAGAAAAACTAAGACATTATTGTAGCATCAGATTCTAGCATATCTAGCCTCCATTTACAGTGAAAGGTTTATTTTTTTTTTCATGGTAAAGTGGCTGATAGAGATAGAAATTTAATGCCCAAGAGAGCATAGGTCAATTGACCAACTTGAAGAATAAAATTGGTGGAGTAATATGGCTAACTGAAACATAATTAAAAATACTTTTGTCTAATATGTATAGGAAGACTTCTCAAGAAAATACGTGCTTTCCCTTAAACAACGCAATTCTCATTCCTTATAAGAATGCAGTGTATTGCGCATCTTTAGATATTTGTAGTAATTGCAATAAAAATTCTAGGATGAATGTTCTTCCTGTTTCTATGAACAAAGCTTACTCTGGAAACCAGTAGAGCGGTGGGGAAAAAGAGTCAAAAAAGAGAAGACAAAAATGAAGCAAGATTAAAAAATAAATATCTGCTTTGATAAGCATTCTTTAGAGAATGGATTTCTAGGTCTGCTTGTTTTAAAAACATTGAATGTATGTGATTATATCATGATCATGGGCACTATGTTGTATAAAATGTCTAATCTTGCCTTATTAAGGCATTAATTATAAGATTATGATTTCTCAATTCTCATAGTTTTAAATAGCACACACTTCCATAGTGTGAGCAGTGTTTAAAAGCAGAGGAAGGTAGATAGCTGTGCCAAAACTGTGCTCTCAAGTGGTCAGTTATTCTGTCATGAATTGACAGAGCCAGAGGCAACTTCAGCTGTTTGAAGGTCTGCCGAAGAGCCAGATACTGCTGTGCAAAATAACTCGAGTAGACTGGTAGCTAGGGACTAGCTACCATTTGAAAAAAAAATCATAAGTATGAGCAGCCTGCTGTGTAACTTACTGTGTGAGTAACTTACCAAAATATTTTTGTTTTCCCCAAATTCCCCCATTTTAACAAAGTGCTTAGGCAGCACTATCTTGTACAAAAACTGTATCTGTAAGCTATGCTTAGATGCATAAAAAAGCATTTGAATCCTAGGATGGGGAAGAGTGTCTCTACACTTTACTGACACAGTAGCATGAAGTATGCAATGAAAATACAGAAGATGGGTTGAGGGGGGAAGTTAGTTTTGTAGCCTCTCATGCATATAGGTAATACTTCTGGGAAAAATGGTAAACATCTAATAAACAGACATACATAGTTTCTTTACTTGGCATTGTCATGCTTTTTGACTGACTTAATATAAACATATAACAAATAGAAGAATGCAGGAGAGTCACATCTTACTCACTGAGGCAACTAAGTGCACAAAAATCACACCATGTGAAGTCTCTTAATTTTCCTAGATCTTTCAAGGGTATCATTGACATAAACATAACTGACATATTACAAAAATTTCCCCAAAATAGTGACATGAAAGACTAATCAGATATTTTTCAAGTGTCTCATTTAGGTAAATGTAAAACCAGTAAAATAGGTAACCTTGGGTTAACAGGACAGAAATTCAGAGGGCTTGGAGACAGTTGTGATTGAAGGCAGCTACTTAGTCTTCCCGCTCTCTAAGAGAGTAGAAATTTAATGCCATGATACCTTAACTATTCATTTGTACTTCCTTCTTCTTAAAGCAAAGTTAACACTCATTCTGATTTCATCTTTCATCTTTACGGCTTGATGTATCAATTGACAGGAAATTCAAAGGTCAGGGTTAACATTTGATGCTTAAAACATAGCTCTAGTGTGAAAAAATGCTAGCTGTAAGATTACTGTGGACACTTCAGAACTGTGATAACTAGGATGCAGACACTGATTGGGGAAAGTTTATAGTTACAAATTGAGCAGAAGAATCTATATTCAGCAACTGAATACTGAAGAAGTTATATAAAAAATAGTATGTGACGCTATCTAGATTCCTACACCAGGTACTGTGATAATGAGAAGCTGACAAAAGGTAAAGCTGAATTGATTTTCTTCCTTGGTTAAATACAGTTGACTTGTGTTTTATAGTTCTGTGTAACTTCAGCAGTTGTGTAGGTTAGGCGTTGCTGAAGACCTGTCATATGCAGTGTGTGTGTGTGTGTGTGTGTGTATGTGTGTGTATATACATATATATATATACACATGACATTTGGAGTTTACTAGTCCTGAAATAACTCTGCTCAGTATCCATTATAAGCAATGGTTCAGTTTTATGTAATTCCGTGTTACATGTTGGATTATGTTTTGTTGGATATACAACCTGCATCAAAATAGTGGCACTAATGTAGTGCACTAATGTAGTTCTGTATCTACCGTCCATGAAGCAACGAGCAGCTGAAATATGTACTAGAAGCTTTAACAAATGTATAAGCTTGTGGAAGAGTAGGCAAGTGCCTGATTCCTGCTTATGTTATTGAACAAATTCTTCTGAAATAATAAATTATGAGAGTGTTCTGAGAGTTGAGTTGGAAATGGATGCAGATTAATTTTTGTGGAGATTTTAAAATTATTAATGGCAAGCATTCTCTTTCTTTGAAAAATAGCTTGGAGCTGGGGAGTGGGGAAGGCTTTTGTAAGTTCAGTGCTAGAGCCATATGAGTACAGGGTCCCTTTTGAGTCCGTGTTTTGGTGAACAAAGTATGTTGTTTGTAGTAACTCTGCTTATTACTAGATAAGGCTATAAACAGAACTAATGTGGATTACTTTGTCTGTTAAAACCTTCAAGTTTTATTTTTGTCAAATTCTTTTGCCCAGTATTTCCTTGAAAACTGGAAGAAACGGAAATGCACTACTTCTGTAGTTCTGTGCATTCCAGCAGGTCTCTGGTGCTCCTTGTTTTGCTTTGCTGTGAAAGAATACCCAACCTATAGAGCTTTAGAAGACCACTTAATGCTGGGCTTCTTTAGAAAAGAGATGTTAGAACAACTTCCATGTCAGAAGAGCCTACACTAAATTGTGTTTCTTGTGCATGTTACTATCTTCCTCTAACTATGCATAACTAAGTATTTTTTTTAGTCCCTCTTTGTAGGTCAGGGAACAGAGATGTTTTCTGCCCATGTAAACAGAAGAAATGTTGCTACTGAATTGATTACATACTTCTAGGCTTGGCATGCCTCATAGGTTAATGAGTCTCTGTTCAAACAAATCTGTGATTAGTGAATTTATGGTTCACTGTAGTAGTGCTTTAAGCCAAAGCAAACTAACTTTGATTCTTCTATCTATGAAGAATGAACTAATGTAACTTAATAAGATTCAACTGTACAACCACCAAACTAAGTATATTGGTAGTTATGATGTCCCTAATATTTCATGTGCAGTTTGAATTCTATGTAAGTTATTGCCTTAATTATTAGATAAATTATTTCTCCACTTAGTATTTGTGCCCATTTTAAATTCTCTTGAAGAAATCTGTCTCTTAGGTAGTGAATCTGGTAACTTTCAGTTGACAGTACAATATTTAAATTACTGACAGCGTTAGTATCCTGGAATCAGCTGACTGAGCTCTTAAGCTGTGAAACTTCTTTACTTAGTAATGCACTGTTAGAAAATCAAGGGGTGTAATCTGTTTTCTTCAATGAAAACTTAAGAAGGTCCCGCACATCATAAACTAATACTTTATTTAGCCCTACTTATAATAAAGTGGGGCTACTTCAAATACAACCATACTATGTCCTATACTGGAAGTAAATGCCTAAATCTAGAGTAGTTATAATAAGCAAGAGCTAAATTATACTCTGTTCATTAGTTATTCCCAAAATAGTGAGAACATCTTTGAGGTCCTTGTGGGTGTGATAAGACTTTGTATGTCCTACCCCTCTGCATTTAGCATGTGCAGCCATCTCAGTGCTTTAACAATGTAGATGTCTGTGTAACTGTTAAAAATACTAAAATGCAGTGGGATTGCAAGTGCACTTTAATCCAAAGCATGGAAAAAATCTGTGATCAGCAGAATAAATAACACCAAGTACAGCTTTTAATCTTCTTGATTTTATTTTTTTTCTTAAAAATCTAAAAAGAACAAAGTCAAATTAATGAGTGTGGGGGAGGGAGGAGATGGTACAAGAATCATGTTGAGACACAGTTTTGTCATCTGTTTTGTGGAATGGAAATTAGAGGAATACTCTATGAAAGGAATAATAGTATGAAAAAAACTTGGTATAGAATAAATGGGAAGAGTTGTAAGTACTAAGAACATGGCTTATTTTTAAACAAAAAAGTGCATAAACTGCTTGAATATTTTGAGATTTATTATCCTGTAAATACTGCATTACTCATTTATATGTCTTCTGGTTTTAAGCTACTTTATTAAAAGCTTATTAACTTTTACCTTTCAGAACAGGCATGCTACATAACTTAACAGCACCATGCAATGCTAACTGTGGATGTTCACGGTCTATGTACTACCCAGTTTGTGGCAGAGATGAAGTACAGTACTTCTCTCCTTGTTTCGCAGGATGTGCATCACTTGTTATTAACAAGACGGAAAAGGTACTTTATACTGTGAAGGTAGCTAACATGGTCTGTTCTGGTTACCTGCAAAATATATTCTGTATTGAAAATATTCTTCCCTTAGTATGACAGCAAATAATGGTATTTATGAATCAGTGATAGTTACTACAAGAAAAATGGGTGTGGATTGGAAACACATATCTAAGTAGGATGAATGTTGGTACGTGTCATTGTCCAATACTCTGACCAGGTGCTTTTAGATATTCCTCTTGTGGGGGTGTCAAATTTACTTGTGACAGATGATGTTACACAGGAGTTATGATTCAGGAGTGTGATAAAAATATGCAGAAAATACAGTACAAGTTACATTTAACAAAACAGCAATTTCAATACGAAGTTCAGTCACAATACCAATGTGATTCCTGCTACTGGTCTCTATTACATACTCCTATCCCTGTGCTGAGCCTTCCTCATCACTTGGAGTGCATACCTGGGTTGAAACTAGGTCAAATCCATTTAAAGCTCTCTTCAAAATTATTTTGCTGGTTGCTTGATTTTTATAATTTATGTTGGGCTGAGCTCCTTTCCTCTCCTCATGCTGGTCTGTCTAACTCAGGGAGATTTTCACAATGTATTAACGAATTTGAGGAGAATTGCACCAGGAGTTGATCTGGTCAGCTGACATAGCTGTTTCTTTTCTGTATGGATTTTTTTGCAATAGATGTGGTCATTCATATTTTTGTATAGTATTATGTACTGCATATCATCATGCTGCTAACTCTAAAATCTTTAGTTTTAAGATTTTGCTTTGTTTGAATTGTGTGGGCTTTTATTTTAATGCTTGTACCTAAAACTTGCTCCACACAAAATGGAGACTATAGCGGTCTTTAGATCCTCAAACCAAAAATACCTTTTGCTCAGGTGAGCTGGATCAGTGAAGCTCTGCTGAACCAGTTTTAAAAATGAGGGTTACAGTGTCATGTAATCATCAGGAAATGGACTGTTTCTCCTATGGCAAAGTCAGGAGTTATTCCTTGTATTTAGTGTGATGCTAACCCAATTAACATCTGCCATATTAGTATTACTTAATGTCATTCTTGACCTAATCTTTCTTTTATAAATTATTTGTAGATGTACCACAACTGTTCCTGTATTGGGAAACCAGAAAGACAAGCTGGTTTAGAAGACCTCTTCTGTGAAGCTGTCTCTGGGAAATGTCCAACACAATGCAAACTTTTACCTTTATTCCTGACCTTCTTCTTTTTTGCTGTTGTTTTTACATTTATGGCTGTTACTCCAACAACTGTAGCCATTCTCAGGTACCCTTTTTAGAGCTGAGAAATAGGTAGACTTCTTGTGAAAGCTCAGATGAGTGAAATATCCTAATTTCTTTTGCTTTGGAATGTGGACTTAAACCAATGTGCAAGGGACTTCTTATTTTAGTACTTTTTGTAGTAAGCAAGCAGCACTTGAAGCAGAGGCCTGTCATACCATTGTTCACTAGTTCTGTAGTTACATTTGGTTAGTAGCTTGAACATTTCTACATCTTTCCTACTTGTGGTAAAATCGCACTTTTATGGGAGTAGTCCTCTGACTGTTTTAGTCAAAACAAGAAAGAATAAATGTACTATATGCTCGGATAAAGAAAGTATAAAAGTGGCCTGTGAAATCCTGTGTGCCAGGATTTCAGATTGTACCAGAAAAACAACAAAATAGCAATCAATGTTGTATTCTCAACCTCTCATTCTTGTCTCAGTTCAGAGTTCTGACTTGCAAAATTGAAGTCTGTTGAGAACTACAGACTACCTTTCATATGATATTGATGTTATATGTATGGTAGTCTATTATATAAAATACGACAGCATGTATATGGCTGTTAACCAGTGGTTTGACTCTTTCAGACTGGTGAAATTCATATGCAAGAAAGCTAAATTTTTTTTTTTTTAAATAGATGGACCTTGTTCTGAAAGTAAAGCTCTTTTACTTTATGTTGAAATCTGACTTGCACCTCTAATACTTCTAGAGAGAAAATGTTCATGATGTGTAGGGATGCAGTATACATGTGATGCTTTGGGAGGGTATGATTAGATGCCCTTTTTACAACTTCCTAGGTAGGGAGTTCGGGAGGGGAATGTTACACTGCAACGGTGATTTGTAGAAGCCTCTGCTTCAGGGTTGGTGTAAATCTAGAATTAACAGCTTGGAATTAACAGTTTGTTGTGTTAGTGTCAAATCAGAATGACGTGAAGTGTTGCATCATCTTCAAATCTGAGCTGACATAGTTTTATAGTCATAGTTTTATTTAGGTAATTCTAAGCACTTGGAATTTTTAATCTTTGTATACTTCAACTGAAACAGTGAAACAGTTCTTATGGAAGACTGTAGAGCAGTTTAAATGTGCAAACCCTAATTTAAATACCTAAATCATGGAATAAATTACTACACTATGTTCTGATACTTTTTTATCAGGCCTATTTTGTGTAGCTTCAAATTTAAACCCATGTGTTTGTAAGAGTGTTCTAGTGGTAGGAGTAACAACCCGCACTATGCAAAACTAATTCTTTCCTCTACTTTCCTGTATGGGAATGGCGATCCTAACAGTGGCTGCTCATAATCTCTCATTTTGGATGTTTTTCTGTGGTTGTCGTACATATTCCAGAATGGTGGAATAATTCCTGAATATAAGAACTCATAGCAGCCTTCCAGTATCTGAAGGGGGCCTACAAGGGTGCTGGAGAGGGACTCTTCATTAGGGACTCTAGTGATAGGACAAGAGGTGATGAGTTCGAATTTAAACAGGGGAAGTTCAAGTTAGATATATGGAGGAAGTTCTTTACTGTGGGGGTGGTGAGGCACTGGAATGAGTTGCCCAGGGAAGTCGTGAACTTCATCCCTGGTGGTGCTCAAGGCCAGGTTGGACAGAGCCTTGGGTGAGATGGTTTAGTGTGAGGTGTCCCTGCCCATGGCAGGGGGGGTGAACCTGATGATCTTAAGGTCCTTTCCAACCCTAACTATTCTATGATTCTATGATATTATGCTCTAATGGTATCTTAAAGTTAGAAAAAATACTTAAATTTAAAACAGGTATCTGTTTACTAGGTAATGTAAACCAGAATCTGTTTACCAGATAGTAAATGGTAAATCAGTGGTATCTGTGGGACATTCCTCTTCTTTCTGTTCCTATCTGTAGGGGTTAATTCATATAAAAAGAAGAGCAGAATTACTGTAAGTGTACTGTGAGTGTGCTGAGGCACTGGAACAGGTTGCACAAAGAGTTGTGAATGCTTCATCCCCGGCAGTGTCCAAGGCCAGGTTGGATGGAGCCTTGGGTGACATGGTCTAAGGGGAGATGTCCTTGCCCATGGCAGGGGGGTTGGAACTAGATGATCTTAAGGTCCTTTCCAACCCTAGTTATTCTATAGTTGTATGATTCTAATATTTAAGTAGTAGAGTCTTTTTCGCACTGACACTGCTTCAAAGATACAGTTTGTTAAAGAAAACAGTGCTGTAACTAAATTGCCTAAATGTAGTTAGGCTATATTTAATCTTTATCGTACTATTTTAAAGACACTGGCAGGAGAAAAGTGGTGCTGGTGAAATATCTGAGAGAAATAGGTAGGAGATGAGGAGGTAAATTTTGGTAGTTATTAAATCAACATGTTGATTTGTATAACATAGGCCAGAACTGATTAATTGTAAGGTCGGGTAACTACATATAAAGGTTATGGGTAATACAACAGCTTGTGATTTGCTGAAGTCTCAGTTAATCTATTACTTCTTTAGGAATAGTAGCTCAAGATTGCATTCTAGCACTGTCCTTTACTTTCTTACTTTTTCTGTGGAAAAAAAGATGCTCGATAGTATTATCAGGGTGCTGCTGGTAAGCTAGCTTTTTATTTATACTATTTGTTAAACTAGTTCAATCTAAAATTCTTGGAGAAATTGGAGTTCCTCTTTTGTCAAAATACCTTTTGAAGTTATTTGCTTACTTGTTCTGCATACTGGTTTTCTAAAACTTTCTGCAACTAACATGTTAAAAGGGTGTATTAAGACAAAGCATATTCACTGAGGGACAAAGCAGAAAAACAGAACAGGTAAAAGTTGTTTACTAAGTCTTAAACTGCAAATCTTGTTTACAGGTGTGTGCCAGATAAACAGCGCTCATTCGCTCTTGGAGTGCAGTTAGTGTTTGTACGACTACTGGGTATGACTTTCTTGTTGAAACACTTGCCTCTGAATAATCTACTTGCTTGATGTTTTTCTAGGCTTAAAAAATAATGCAGTAACAAGCTTTCAGAGGAGCTTCAAGCAGCCTGTTGTTGGCTTATAGAGTACACTTGTTATAAGGCAGATGCCTTATAACAAATTCCTTTTAAATAGGGCATGCATGCTCATTTTAGCCTTTCTTCTTATCAGAACAAACAAAATAAAAGTAATTACTATTCTTTAAGCAAAAGGCACCTGCTGTTGCTTCCCCAAGAAGAAAACCTATTCTGAAAGTTAAAAAATAAGAAATCAGCGATGTAATAGAAAACAGCTGTTTGTAGTTAATATCTCAAGTTCCAGAAGTTGAAAGAAAGTGACGCAGTCTCACACAATCATATTCTTATTGGACATGGCAATATATTTTGAAGTGGAAAGGTTGTCTTCCCTCTTCTGCCTTCCCTTTAAATTCCTTTGACTAATTTTAGCCTTTATTGAATTTGTAGATATTTGTACATAAGTAATTACTAAGCTTATATGTGGGAAATCTACTAATTAAATTCTAAACCTAAGTGCCTCCAAAATCTCAGTAAGGTGAATCGCCTTAAATAAAACACTAACTTAAATGTAGGTATTCTCTGAACCACTCATTTGATATTTTTTTTTTTTTTTCCTCTTTAAACTCTTGTTTTAGTCTTTACCATTTTAAATAGCATATGTAGTTCAAGACTGGCTCAAGGCTCAGTTACTGGTTAGGCTTTTATATTTATATTATATTTAGTACTGCAGCCATTCCCTGTCATTTGAGATCAAATATCATAGAATCCAAGAATGGTTTGGTTTGGAAGAGACCTTAAAGCTCATCTAGTTCCAGCCCCCTGCCATGAATAAGGACACCAGCCACTAGACCAGGTTGCTCCAAGCCCCATCCAACCTGGCTTATGAGTTCTGATTTGCTCTACTTACTGGAATTCCAATTATTCCAAGTCATTCTACTAATAAAGCACAACAAGAGTAAATATCGTCACAGGTATTAATTAGCAGGGAGGTATTGTTAAGTGTTTTGTGAGGGCTTCTCTGATTCATTCTACTCGGTTATCTGTGGCAGAATCTCAACTCTTGACTTCACTGTGTAGCGGAGGATAGTAGAACTTTTTGCACTGTCTGTATTAACTGTCACCGAAGAAGGTGGCAACAACATTGATACCAGCAGGATATTTATGCTGTACATTTTAGGAATCACACAGGGGTCCTAGACAGAATAGCTGTGTTGAGGCCGTAGCTGCTGAGTAGCTCAAGAACAGTTTAAGCCTTGAATAGGTTAGGTAGACATGTAGTGGTCAGCCTGGAGTGTTTATGATAAAATTGGCTGTACTTGGATGCAAAACACTTGTGCTTTACAAAGCACTGTGTAACAAAAATCACACAAGTCTTGACATATTCTATGCGAATCATTTTAAACACTACTCACTTTATGTTAGTTTTTCCCTGGAAGCTTGGCTGCATCTAAGGAGTGGGAAAAAAATAAACATTGACATTGACTGAACATATCAACATAATAATATGTTTGGTTTGTGCATTTGGAACAGGTTAGTGATGAGCTGAGTGAAGGGACTTTTTTCCTTCAGTTAAAATCCTTCTTACTAGCTGTTTTCCCCTGATTTCAATCACACTTTTTTTTTTTCCAATGAAAACTAAGGAAGCTGAGGAGGTCAAATCTTTTGAACAAATCTCTTGCTTGATAAAATGAGACCTGTATAAAGAATTAATTAACCCACACCTTACCTGGTGAGAATCACGGAAGAGGCACACTTGCTATGTAATATGAGCCCTATGATTTTGATTAAAATGTTTACTGTGTGGCTCTCCCATTTTATCCTCTCACCATGTCTAGGCATTTCACCATACTTATTAAGATCAGGTAAGGTTATTCTGAGTAACTGAAAGTTCTTACACGTTGCTGTGTTTTTTTAGGTACTATTCCTGGACCAATTTTGTTTGGTGTCGCTATAGACAACAGTTGTACTCTGTGGGATATTAATGACTGTAACACTAAAGGAGCCTGTTGGGTTTATGACAATGAAAGAATGGCTTATCTGCTGATGGGCATAAGTAAGTGGCTTCTTCATATTAAGTACATGTACAGTGTAAGATATACTGACTTGGACTGCTACATAGGTATTACTTTAAAATGGAACCTTAAACTTGTTTTTAGCAGCAGTGTTTTTTATAAAGTGTTAATTTTTCATAAGTGTTTAAACACGAAATAATAATTGGAAAAACCACGTTGAATGGCTGTTAGAAATTACCTAGAAAAATATTTCCAATAACAGTAATATAAAAATAGTTTTGTTCTTTGGTTTTTCTTCATTGTCACACTTTATCTACTGAATTCTAAGGAATTGGGCACATGTTTTAGTCTTACCCCTCAGTTTGTTGGCATGTTAGGGTCTGAGGAATATTCTTTCTTGTCATATTTCAGTTTTTTTCCCCAAATTAATATCAAGGTTTTGAAAATATCTCAAACACTAGTCAGAAATTTTCCCAACTTATATAACAATCTGTTCCCTTACAGTATGTGAGATATGTTATGTCTGGGGGAGGGAAGGCAGGCTAAGCTTGCATCTGTGATAACTGCTTTTGTGCTGTCTTCTAGCAACTGTAATACAGTGCATAAACTGAACTGCTGACACCTAATCTTGAAAGTGAAACTACAGGAGTCACAACTTGAGGTTTCAGTATCTCTCAGGCATATTTGTAATAAAATATAATGCCTCCTCTTTTTCACCCCTCTCTTTGTCCCGCACCAAGTTGCACAAACACCACTGTACCAGTGAGTAGTAAGTGAACAACCTTTTAGGGTAGCTGAGGAGAATACTTAACAGGTATGTATGTGTGGAGTTTCAGTTTGTGGCAAAAAGAATATTGGTACCATGAAATACCATATGGGAACAAGAAATAAGGCAGACTTGCACTTCAGGTTAGAATGTGGTGAGTAAATACAGTACTGAAGTAATGGCAATAGCTGCTACAAGCAGGAACTCTCAGGCAGGTGAGTGGTCTGAAGTTGGAAGACTGCCTTTACCTGCCCTTTGCAGTTCATGTAAAATATGCTGAAATTCACAGAATCCATTTTAAAGTCTTAGCTTAATTCACCATATGAAACTTCAGTAGCAGCTGAAATACTGTTATCTGCTATTAAAGGTGACTGCAACAAGGATTCTCTGTTCTTTGCATTCAGGTGCTTTTTGCAAAATCATCACAATCATCTTCACAGTCATGGCAGTACGTTTGTATAAGCCTCCCACAGCCAGTGCAGTCCTCTCATGAAAGGATTCAGAAATGGTATCGGCCGTACACACATAAGTCAGGAGCTAACGGGACCTTTCAAAAGCAGCCAATAAGAACAACACTTGTACCATAGTTTGTGTACCTAAATAAAATTTAGTTTGTCTAAATAAAGATCCTTTTTGATTCTTGAGCAACTAAAAATATTTGTGAATGTGCATAGTGTTCTCTGACTTGCTAAGCATACTTTTTAGAATTCCATTGTGTACATCCAAGAAAGTGACACTTAAATTTGCAGTCTGATTTTTAGATGTTTCACAATTTCTTTGAAACAAGCTGGAATACTCGATTTGGAAAAAAAAGAGGAAAAATGAACTAGTGATAGGAGAAAGCAAGTAACTTGATATATTAAAGGAAAATATGAATGTTTAAAATGGACTTATTTTAATGTGCACATAGTCTGGGCTAGTGCCTAAATTGGGGATTTTGACTGTAGATACACTTGGGGATGTGCAAGTATGGCCATATTGCCAGATATTTTTACATGTTATCTTCGTTCCATAAGTTCACTTTCTAGTATTGTAGAAAAATGTGAATAGTTGTTACAGGATAGCTGGGTTTGCAACAGCAACATATTTGTTAACTTAAGTGCCTGAGTTTTTGCCTGTTACATATACAGAAAATTGCTGTCCAGCTGCTGTCTCTTAAGCACTGTTAAAATTTTTCTATGAAATAAAACCTACTCTTTTACTGTGTCTGTGTATGCTCTGTCATTTTGAAGTGACTGAGTTCTAGGATTCTCAACTCCAAGAAACGCAATGCTGAAGATACCAAAGAATATGCATGTGCCCCGAGTTCAGCAGTAGCAGTCATTTTTCTCCTTTTTAGTAGGTGGGGCACTGCTGTGGTTTTGACTTTCAGCCTGGGAGCAACGCTGATAACACTGATGTTTTTAGTTGTTGCTCAGTAATGTTTACTTTGGTGAAAGACTTTTTCAGTCTCGTGGTCTGCCAGTGAGGAGGGGCAGGGAAAGCTGGGAGGAAGCAGGGGCAGGACACGTGATCCAAACTAGCTGAAGGGGTATTCCGTACCACAGCACATCATGCCCAGTATATAAACTGGGGGGGGATTACCCAGAAGGGCCAGATCACTGCTCAGGTCAGGCTGGTTATTGGTTGGTGGGTGGTGAGCAATTGTATTGTGCAGCACTTTGTGTTTGTTTTCCTTTTCCCCTTTTATATTCTCTCCCCTTGTTATTTCCCTTATCGTTATTATTGTTGGTGGTAGCAGTAGTAATTTCCAGTACCTGTTACTGGACTGTTCTTATCTCAGCCTGTGGGGTTTACATTCTTTTGATTCTCTTCCCCATCCCTCCAGGAGTGGGAGGGAAGAAGGCAGGGCTGTGTGAGTGGTTGCATGGTTCTGAATTACCGGGTGGGCTTAAACTACGACCATATGCAACCATCAAAATGTAGGAAAATATAGGTTTAGTTGTTCATTTTGACTTTCACACTGCATGCTATTAAAACTTTTATTTGTACAGCACAACAGATGTGCAAATTAGTCACTTTTACCAGGTACTAAACTATATTGCCTGATACTGAAATATTCAGTATTGACTGTAACTTTTAAGCAAGATATCCTCTGCACTTGCTTCACTGTGTTAATGAAAAATTAATTTCTTTTGCAGTGGCTGTGCATGTCACTCATGTAATGTATGCGTGCCCTTTTCATCTCATTACAGAGGCTGTACTCATTGACTCTACTTACGGCAAAGAATTATGGAATATGAGTCATGTTTCATCTATTCTTTAAATGCAGCTGTTAAACTTGGTAGAGGTTAAGTATACAACTCAAGAAGAAGACCCTCTATAACTATTTAGAGGATATTCCTATTCAGGAAATAAAGCAAAATAATCTACACCTGCTGAAAGCTCAAGACTTAATGGCTTTTGAGGCAGAGGAGGAATGGGGCAAAATGCAACAACAGAGTTTATGCTTGCTCTATTAACTTGAATGTCTCCTGGTAACGCAGTTTCCTTATAAATGGGCTCATAGCAAGATGGGTAACTTTCAAGGAAAGACCTACAAACTGATCTTCCATTAGGTTTGGGACTATGGGTTAAAAATCTCAATTCAGTTTCCAGTTTCTGATATGGTTTGTGCTGGGTATAGCAAATCACTTAAACATAGTAAAGATGTGCAATATGCTGGCTGAAGTTTGCTTCTCTTGATCTGTCTTAGGCTGTGAAATCATAGACCACAATTTCTGCTGATTAATGTCACTGTGCAGGTTAAAATAATTGTGGGGCAGAGTAACAGGAACTTCCTCTTTGTCGTGGTTTAAACCCAGTCAGGTAATTAGTTCGCTCACTTCCCCCCCTTTCTTGACCTCCCCCTGCTCCCGGAGGGACATAGAGGAGAATCGAAAAGAATGCAACTCCCACAGGTTGAGATAAGAACAGTTTAGTAACTAAGGTATAACACAGATCACTACTGCTACCACCAATGATAATAATGATAAAGGAAATAACAAGGGAAGAGAATACAACACCTCAGCACCAGCTGACCAATAACTCGCCCCCCCCAGCCGAACCAAGCACCCACCGATGCCTCCTCCAACCCTGCAGTCTCCCAGCCCTTCCGGCTCACTCCCAGTTACCTCCTGGCCATGACGTGCTGTGGTATGGAATACCTCTTTGGTCAGTTTGGGTCAGGTGTCCTGTCTCTGCTTCCTCCTGGCTTCCCCTCCTCCCTGGCAGAGCATGAGGCTCACAAAGTCCTTGGCCAAACCAAAACATCGTTGTTATCAGCTCTGTTCCCAGGCCGAAAGTCAAAACACAGCACTGCACCAGCTACCAAGAAGGAGAAACATGACTGCTACTGCTGAACCCAGGACACTCTTCAGAGGAAGTTACCTCAATCTTAGTTGTGCTGGATTGGTTATTTAGGTTGAGAAGGAAGGAAGCATTGCTGTTGCAATTTATAATCTAGCCTATGACTTGTATAAAGATTAGCGTTGCTAGTTTAGGAGGAGCAGCACAGTGGTTGGAAGAGAGACCAAATATTTAGAACTGGCTAAGTTTAGCCATTCATCTTGTGTCACAGCAATGTTAAATTAAGAGATACAGCAATAGATAGTGGAGGGCAGTAGATGTGTCAAAGGTTTTACTACGTGAAGGTCACTGTCACAGACAAGCTGAACAAGTGTGAGTTAGGTATTTTGACAAGGAAGGTGAATTAAAAATTGCCCAAATGGGTGAGCCCAGAGGGTCAAAGCCCAAAGTCTACTTTGAGTCATGTCACTAGGTGCTATATCCAGCAGATCAATAGTGCATCCAGTCTAGTTCAACTTCTTCATTCATGAACTGAATGATGGGTTAGACTCTGCTCTGGAGGAGTGGCTGATACACCAGAGGGTTGTGGTGCCATCCAGAGGGATTTGGACAAGATGGGGAAATGGGCAAATGGGAACCTCATGAAGTTCACAAAGGGGAAGTGCAACGACCTGCGCCCAGGGACAAGTAATCCCATGCACCAGTAACATGCAGGAGGCCACCCAGCTGGAAAGCAGCTCTTCAGAGGAGACTCTTGGGAGTCCACGGGAGTCACGGACAACGCAGAGACGATCAATGTGATTGCCAAATTTACTACAAAGCCTTAACTCCTTATATACTATTTCTTACATGCACTTACAGTGATTTGGCATATTATGATTGGATACATGTTTTGAAGACCCTTAGTGACTAACATATAATTGGTTAAGCACAGGTGTGAGAACTTGACCTGGAAAGCTTGCCAACAGTCCACAGTTCTCATTAACTCAGTGAATTCCAGCTGCTTCTTACCTTGCTTGCTTAAGCTTCTTTGAGCCTCTCATGGCCTTGCTGTATCTTTCAGGATTATTCAGAGTTTATGTACCAATTATGCATTCTCCTGTGAGAACACTGTCTCCACAGTGGACAAGTTGATGGTAAAACATCAGTACACCCTTTCTGCAAAACAGGCCAATAGCATCCTGGGCTGTATTAAATAAAGTACTGCCAGCAGACTGAGGGAGGTGATTCTTCCCCTGTACTCTGCACTGGTGAGCATACAGCTGGAGTGCTCTGGCCAGTGCTGGGCTCTCGAGGTAGAAAATGTTGGACTTATTGGAGGGGTTGTGGTGCAGGGCTGTAAAGATGTTTGGTGTACTGGAATATCTTTGATACTGAGAAAGCTGGGGAAGACGTCTGGAGAAAAGAAAGCTCAGGTTGTTGAGCCTTGAAAAGAGGGAAGCCAGACTGTTCTTCCTAATGCTCAGCCATCTGGACAAGAAGTAGCAGGCACAAACTGAAACACATGAAGTTCCCTCTGAACATGCAAAACAGTTTTTCTAGCTGTGAAGGTGGTTAAACATTGGAACAGCTTGCCTGAGAAGTTGTGGAGTCACTGTTTTTGGAGATGTACAAAACCTGACTGGACATGATTCTGGAATAATCTATTCTGGCTGACCTTCCTTGAGCAGGGGGGTTGTACTAGGCAATCTCAAGCAGTCCCTTCAAACCTAAGTGATTTATGTAAGATGCTCCTTACTGTTGCCTTTCTCCCATTTATCATATGATGTGTAACTTCTTTACAGAATCTTACAAGGGAAGACCTACTTTTGTTGCATAGTATCATTCTGTTTCTTCTCTTAGGCTTTGTTGTTTGGTGGTGGGTTTGTGGTTTTTTTTGTTTGGTTGGTTTTTTTTTTTATTTTTGGTTACTGGTTAGCTAATACTGTGTATATCTCACTGTGTGGTATTAGTTCTCATGCCAGCAGTGATAAAACATTTCAAACAGCAGTTGACAGTCTTCTGTGATTTGCACATTTTCTGTGAGCCAGTGTTTAAAGTGCATGGACTATTAAATTCTTGGACTCACATCTTTGAGGTTCTGCTAACTACCACAGATTGGGGGTTTAAGAAGAATTTCAAGTATTGCCCAAAATAAAGATTATTTAAAACTTAAAGATTATTTAAAACTTTAGAAGTTGCATCTTCTAACTAGGATGATTATTTTTAGGACTTGTCCTAGTGCAAATGAGACTGTCCAAC